CCAGTGTCTTTTCATACTTGCATTCTTTATATTTATTTCCCTTTGGTTCTTGAATATTAGCGAAACCTTTTGGGAAATGGCTGACAGCAAGAGTTGTTGTGGGAACAGCTCTCTGTCTGGATCTGAACCAAAACTTGAAAAAGGCAGAAACACTCCCACTCCCCGCTGCACACAGCAGGAATGAACGGGAGGCAGCCAGGCTGGAGGCCAGCGGTACAGAGGAGTGGCCCTTGGTCAGCTCTCCTCCCTGCCTGGAGGGGTGGAGGTTTCTATCCAGGACCAATGCTTGGAAAGGATGGCGTTCCACAAACGGAGCCACACTAAGCACATGCCATCCCAGAACCCAGACCCGGAGATGTGGAGGGTTCAAGGGTGGGCTGTGGGCCAATCAGAGAAGGCATCCTGGAGGAGAGAACTGGAAGGTTGGTTTAGGAAGGGGAGGAGACCAGGGCAGAGGGGAGAAAAGCAGGCGACGTGCCTGGGCAGTTGGGCGCTGGATGATTTAAGTACAACCAGATGTGCTGGGAGTCTCCTGTCAGGCCCAGGCCCAGTGAGGGCAGAGTGGGGGTGGGGAGACCTCTGAGCCACTTGGATTTCCACTTCTCCATTCTGCCCTGGGTGTGTGAGCTTTAGGGAAAGAAGCCCAGTGTGGTTCCAGAGGACCTGGCATGTGAAAAGTGAGGCGGTCAGGCTTGGATGTAGTCTTCTGCCTTTAGAGAGGGTACAGGAAGGGAAGGGCTCCTCTAGGGAGCAGGGTATTGGGCTCGAACACCTGGAACCTAGGAAAAAGGACTAGGAGAGCTCTGGGGTAGGAGCTCTCAGGGGATAGCTAGGGAGGGCTTTACAGAGGAAGTCCTATCTGAGTTGGGTTCTGAAGGATGAATAGGAGCTCCCAGACTGAATAGGGGAAAAGATACTCCAGGGAGAGAGGCTCAGGTGTTAAATTGTTGTGGGTGCTTAGTGAGAGGTTCTGTGGGGCTGTATTATAAAGCTACGTGGGGGAGATGACATTTCATTTTGGGGGGTTGGCCCAAAGCCTGTGCTGCAGGATGGGGGCCGATGGATGTGCTTCTGCTCACAGACCAAATGGTAGAGCCAGATGTGTGGTGAGGATTTAGAAGGTGGGCACCAGAGTCCCCAAGAGTTGGGCCCCTAAGGGGAAGGAGGGGACTGATGGCCAGCCCCAGCTCCTCCTCCCAAATCTTGTGTGGTCTGGCACAGAGCCAGGTCTGCCCAGAAGGACACTTTTTCTAGTTCTCATGGAGGCCCTTCAGAGCTGCTGGCTTGGGGCCCCGGGCTGGCTCAGGCGGTAGAGCATGTGACTCTCGATCTCAGGGTCATGAATTCGAGCCCCACATTGGGTGTAGAAATTACTAAAGAAAGAAAGAAAAAAAAAAGAGCTGGTGGCTGTGTGTGTGGGGGGGTGGGGTGCATTGGCCCCCGACAACCTGTAGTTCACTGGGAAGGCAAACGTGGTGTGAGCACAGGGTCAGAGAGTGAGGGGCTTGAGCAGGGTTGGGGAGGCACTGGGAGCTGGGCGTTAGGGGCCAAAGAGCCAGAAAGAGAAAAGCAAGGGCCCCCATTTGTGGGGGGAGCAGCCTGAGCCCAGGCAAATGGGCAGCAGCAGTGAGCTGGGTGTGGTGTCTCTGGGCGCACCCCAATCCCTCAGCCCCGGGACGCATTTCCTTCCTTTCCTGCTTCTTGATGACTCCTGAGTGGCCGATCCAGAGGGCCACAAAGAGAGCTCTCCCCGCCCTTTCCTCTTCCTCTCTTCCTTTTCTTCCTCCCTTCCTCCCTCCCACCCCCATCCTTCCCCGGGGCCCTTTTCTTTCCTTCCTCCTCACCCCACCTGCTCCTCCCTCCCTCCCTCCCTCTGGGCCCTCCACATCTTCCCTCGACTCCTCTCTCTTTTGAAACTCTTCACGCTGGTTCTCCCGGGCCAGCTGGGTGAGTTTTCTTCATGTTTTCAGAAAGGCCTTGTTGCAAGTCTCTGGACCAGGAAGATCACACAGGCACACAGGCCCCTACGTACCCGCACACACCCAAAATGTAGCACCTGCCTCCCCTGGGAGTGGGGTCGGGGGTGGGATTCTCCACCTTGGATGTGATACAAGCAAAATGACTAGGAAAGAATGGAGGGCCCCCGGCAGAAGCCAAGCATTACTGCCATCATCCCCACTGTTATTATCCAATCCACTGCTGGGCACTTGACCCACCCCTGAGCTGATCACAAGACCAGCCTGACTCCTGTCTGCAGCAGGGGGCTCTCAAGGCACAGATTCCTTGACTAGAGTCAGCCAGGAGAGGGTGAGCAGGGAGTCCTTAGAGAGCAGATCCCCAGTGCCCTGCCCAGGCAGGGCACGGGGAGAGACATGATGAAGGGCCATTTGCTAGGATTGAGTATTTGTCAGCCCGGGAGGCTGGATGATGTATTAACAGGACTTTAATGAGCTCGGGAGGGGAGCCACACTTCATTGCCTGAGCACTGGTGCAGGATGGGGGGCAGAGGGGTGAAGAGGCCAGCCGCACCCCACCTGATAACTAACCCCCTTAATGGGACCCACGCTAGTTTGCCAATCAGAAATAACTCAGCACCTCCAAGATGTAGAGCCTTCCCTCCTGCTCCTGGAGGCTGGCGAAGGCCTTCTCATCATGCTGGCCTGTCCTACTATCTTACTGGGAAGGCCTTCCTGAGGTCTAACCTTGTCCTTCCTACCAGCACTGGAGGGTCCTGGGGGATGAGAGAGAACTGGACCCTTGCTCCAGGGGAGCACATTATCAATTCTTTCCTCTGGCCTCACTCCCGTCATCCACCCTCACCCTGGAGCCTGGTGGAGAATGGCCCCCAGTGACACCCAGCCACCATGCTCTGGCAATGCCAGGCTTGGCCTTCTGGAACTAGTCCTGCTGGTTGAGGTCACTTAGTTTCTGTGGACATTGGCTTCTCTCTTAACTCTTGCCTCTGACCCTTGGGGAGCAGGACAGGTGGGGTGGAAAGAGTACAGTGGCTTCTAGATCCAGGTTTGCTGTGTGAGCCCAAGGATGTCACTTCTCTAGGCCGCAGATGCGCCGGCCATCAGTAAAGAAACCCCCACCAAGTTCCCTCTGCCTCTGTTATCCAGGGATGGTCCCTTCAGCAAGGAGTATCTGTTCTCCAGGGTAGTGGCTGTGGATCTATCCTGATTTTCTGGTTCTGAAGCCAGGGCTCGCTAGCATAGTGAGCCTGGACACATCTGTCCTTCGTGCCAGGGTGTGGCCCTGGGGGTGTGAAGTGGAGAGGAAGAGAGGATTCCGGGGGTGGAGAAGATCCGACTCTTGGTGAGTTTCAGAACCAGCTTGGGCGCTAGTCTTGCCTCCACAGGTGGGGCGCTCTGGGTACTCAACATCTCCCGGAAATGTACCTGGACCCTCCAACCTAAGCTCAGCCCCATCTCCTACAACCTCCGTGGGCAAAGTGGGTTCTGCTATGGGCTGCTTGCCCTGTGGGCTTCCTTTCCCACTGGGATCATTGTCGGAGAGGCGATCCTGGGTGTCTGATAGGATTCTGTCTACCCTTGGACTGGGAGCTCCACGGGGACAGGGATGTGCTTTTGAGACTCTCTCAGGTGTCTCCAGCGTCTAGCCCAAAGCCTGGCACAGGGTCCGCACTCAACTGCACCAGCGCCCAATGCACCAATCAGTGGACGCCTTTGGATACCTCTCAGCAGACCATGGGTCTGGAATTCAATCCTCCGTCTTCCCCTTCCACCATTCACCCTGCTTGGCCCAATGTGAATATCGCCTTCTTGGGGGAAGCCCTTCAGCGAAGGCCCCCTTTTAGAACTCACACCCCATCCTCCGCTGTCCAAGTCCAGGGCTTCACCGTGGCCACACGCCTCTTGGAGTGGCATCCGTGGAGAGGTGGACTTGCCCGGCTATGTGTGTCCCACCCTCTGCATCTTGGACTGCCCCGTCTCTTACGTGGTAGGAGCTCAGTACCCCTGGGTGGGGGGTGGGGGTGGGGCGGGAGGATGAGGGCATGAGTCCAGAAGGCTTTGGCCAAGGGGCCTAGGCAAGGGCGAGGGGGTCTAGGGCGGCAAGCAGACGGGGCGGGCCGGGCAGGGCCGACCGCCTTCCCCTTTGGCTGTCTTCCCCTTTGCCCTTCGACCCAGGAAGCCTCTCACACCCAGCGGACACGCTCGGAGGCCCCACTCAATCCCGGCCTCCCCCCTGGGCGGACGGCTCCCCGACCCTTACCGGCCTCCACCCCCACCCCAACTTCCCGCTCGACGGCCCGGGAGAGGCCCGGGCGCGCCGGAGAGTGGCGCAAGGACACTATCCACACCAAGGGTCATTTACTCTTTTCTCCCCTTCTGTGGCTAATTTATTTTAGAGCTAGGGGAGGGAGGGGGCGGGGCCAAGCCGGGAGGGTTGAGAGGAGGGGACGGGCGAGCCCAGGGGAGGTGGGGGCGGGGCGGGGGCGAGGAGGGGGAGGGCGGGGAAGGAGCCCGGGGTGGAGAGGGCCAGAGAAGGGGCGGGAGTTGGGGGGAAGGGAGGGGCAGTAGGGGAGGGAGGAGCAGGGAAAGGGGAGGGGAGCAAAGGCCTGCGAGGGAGGGCGCTGGGGGCGGGCGAGGGGAGGCGGGGGTGGGGGTGGGGGTCCTGCCTGCGGGGGGAGCCGGGGCGGCCCCTTGTCCGGCCACCCCCACTGCCCAGTCCCGCTCCCGGCCGCGGCGGCCGCAGCAGTAGCAGCTCCAGGATGGTGAGCGCCGCTGCCCCCCAGCCCCGGCCTGTCGCCCCCGGCCCGCGCCCCGGCCCCGGGGCCGGACGCCCCCCCAGGCCGCGCACACTCACCTAGGACCCGGCCGGGATGCCGAGGTACGGGGGGGCCGCGGGCCCGGGCGGGGGCAGGCACGGGAGCGCGCGGGCGGGCCGGGGTCAGGGGGTGGTGACCGTTCGGTCGGGGTGTCCGGAGCTTTGTCCGCGGGCGCGGGGCAGTGCGAGGGCCGGAGAGGGCGGGGGCTGCGGGGCGCGGGGTTCCACTAGGCGGGGGTCGAAGGGCAAGGCCAGCCGGAGACCCGGGCGGGTGCGTGGGAGCCGAGGGTCACTTCCCGGGGGGAGGGGGACGGCAGACAAGGGGATCTGGTCTCCGCCGCCGACGGGCACCGTCTTCGCCGCCCGCTTTGGTACGCAGGTTGCCGCAATAGCGAGCAGCCGGCTCTGGGGGGAGCCTGCGGGATTGGGGGGTGGGGAGCCCGGGATCTGCGGGTTCGGGTCCCCGAAGGATCCTGTGGCCGGAGCCCGAGGGCCGGCCCGCAGGCCCCTCCCACTCCGTCAGGTCTTTGTCCAGCGGCCCCTGTGTGTGTGTGGGAGGGGGTGGGGGCTGGGTTCCTGGCCCGGAGATCCCCCAGCATCGTGACGGGGCAGTGACAGGAGACTGAGGCCACTTCGGGCCCTGCGCCCCTAACGCCCACCCCCTTCCTTTCTTCTCTTCTGGCCGGGGAGAGCGTAGCCCCATCTCAGAGTCAGGGGCGTTGCAAGAAGCTGCACTTACCTTCTCCCGTGGGCTACAGGCTACAAGGGAGACCCTCTGAGCTCCCCGCTCTCTAGAGAGCGCCCCCTTCAACTTGCCCACTCCTAGAGCCCTCTCGGTCTACGCAGAGATTCCCTTGCTAGGAACCCGCTCTGTCGAGGGTCCTCCGCAGAAGGGCGGGCGCACAGTAGGTGCTTAGACCAGGTGGGCCCCCTTCCCCGGCGCCTGCGGTCCCCGAGCCGCTGCTGGGCGGAGGAGGCCTGGGAAGGGTCTGCGCCGGGAGAGAGCGAGCGGCCTGGAGCCTGCGCCCAGCGGCGGCCCGGAGCGCAGGGGTGGGTGGACGGGTGGGTGGGCTGTTAAAGGGACGGTCACTAAATCAGGATTAGGCCGTGGGGCTGTCAGGCTGCCTGGCCCTGTCTCCATGGATACCTAATTTGGAGGAGAATAGAGGACGGAAGAATGTTTGTGTTGTGGTCCGCACGGGCTGCCGCGGCTGAGCGGGCTCTTGCCTCGGGCCAGGCAGCGGGGAGCCGGGCTCTGGTTCCAAGCCCGCTCTGGGCTTCTGCGGGGGCCACTTCTCGGTTCTCCGGGCCCAGAGCCTTCCCTGTGGAGTCTCCGGAGTGGGCCGGATGGTGCCACGGTCCAAAGCCCCCTGATCTGCACAGGGAGCCCCAGACCCGCCGGAATCCAGCCTGAACCTCCTGTGCACCCTCCTGGAAACGGCCGCGCTGAGGTTCCTCAGAGCCCCCCCCCGGACCCCCTGGCCGGGAGCACCCGCCGTCCTCCGCTCAGCCTTGGCCCGGGAGGACCCACTCTCCGGGCAGCTCGGGGCTGCGGCGCGGCCGGTACCCCGCGGCGGAGCGCGGACCCCACGGCGGCGGAGCGCGGGCAGGGGGCGGGGCGCGACTTCCTGGGGTGGGCGAGAAAGGGGCGGGGCTTGCCGGCTGGCTGCGCTGGACGCGGTGACAGGCCTCGTAAATCCCCCTTTCCCATATTTAACACCATTTCGTTTATTTCCACTTGAATCTATTGGTGCTGCAGCAGTGACCCCAGCGAGGAGCGACCCTCGCCCTGGCTGTAATACCTTCTGGGGGAAAGTCCTCCTGGGCCAAAGGGACCTTAGTTATGTAGGGCAGTGGACTTGCTGCTGGTGAGTCCCAGATAACCCGAAATCTTTAGGGGGACCTCCATCTCCCCAGGAGAAGAAGTGGGGGCTGAGAGGCACGGGGAGGAGTTTGGCCTCTGAGGCCCTGCGGGATTCTCTGGCCGTGGTCTAAGAGTGGGCTGGGCTGAGGATCCCAAGGGTAGACAATTCCAGTACACAGACTGGAGGGGGGTAAGGGAGAGGGACCGGACCAGACCGGAATGTTTTGTTCCAAGAGCCCTTTCCTGCCTTCCTCCTGGTCATCCATGGCCACAGCTTTTTTAGGGAGCAAGGCTCCCGTCCCCTCCCCGGCCTGGGCTGCGGCTTTATTGCTGAGATCTCAGACTCTCCACGCAATTTCACGCCTCTCTGCCTTTGCTCTTGCTGTTCCCTCAGCCAAATGCCTTCCCCATTGTCCCTGTCTTCCCACCACCTCCTCATTCTTCAAGGCCCAACTCGGATGCCATACTTCCTCCGTGTAGCCTCGCCAGAGCCCCCAGCTCTCGCACTTGGTGCTCTCGCCATGTTCTCCTAGTCCTGCACCTGTGCCTCCTGCAGCCTTTGTGGCTGCGTCCACACTAGGCTTTGCCTCCGGGAGCACAGGGATGGAGCCTCTACTTCCCCGCACCCTGCCCACGCTGGGCCCGGCACGGAGCTTGGCACCTTGTGCGTGCCCCAGGAATATGTGTTGGCTGAAGACACGGGGTTAGGTAAGAGCAGCCTGCAAAGCATGGAATCTGGCCCCTTTCAGGCAAATAGCGCTGCACTCCTGGGTGGGTGGAGACCCCTGGGTGGGTCTCCTCCTCCTCCTCATTACTGACCCTCCCCCACCCCCCAAGTTGGGAAGGACTTTGCCCCTTCCTTTCCCCACAGACCAGCATTCTTTCCCTGCCATTATCATCCTGTTAAACAGAGAGGCCAGTCAGGATCCATATGGATCACATTAACAATTGCTTATTATCTGGGCCCCGACTGCCCCCACTCTCCACCCCCAGCTCCTACTGCTGCAGTTGTTGGACCCTTAGGAGCCCAGCCTCCCTGCCTCCCCCTCCCCCCACCATTGGTCATCCTGGGAGGGCAGGGGACAGGCTGGTCTCCTTCACCCTCCCTGTGCCTTCTAGCAGAACTTCGATTCTCCTTGACTTGGCTGGCAGTTAATGACTCCTTTCCCCGATTTAATGAAAACCAGGTTCCCCGCGGAAGTGTGGCTCAGGGAGGTTCCAGAGCTGCAGCAAGGAGAGGGGGACCTAAGGTCTGGGTGCACCTGTGGTCCACAACACTGACAGCCCCCACCTTCCAGTGGACCGAAGCTGTGGGCAGGGGCAAGCCACACTAGGCTGACCACAGGGTGTTCTGGTGTCTTCTGCCATCTCAACCTTGGGCTGGCCCGGCTCCCAGGAGAGACCTTGCAAGGCACTGAGTCCCAAGCCTTCTGCTGCAAAGAAGCAAGAAAGCTGAGAGTTTCCTGGAGCTGCAGCTGAGGAGGCCTTGAAGGGTGGGGAGTGGGTTTCTGTTTAAAGGCATATAGCCCAAGAGCACTGGGGATGGAAGGGGTCTTCCAGATTGCCCATAACTTCTTATTTACAGGCCCCTCAGAGGGACTAATGAAAGCCTTTCTCTGAACAATGCACTTCCATCAATTGACCTGAGCCTTTGCATTCTGCCTTTGAGGGCTCTTGGGCCCCCTGAAGCCCATGGGGACCCCACATCAAGAAGTCCTCCTCCTAGTCCAGTCCCTCTGATGTGCGAAGGGCCGAGGCAGGCTGGTAGCCCAGGACTCCTGACCTGCACACTTAGTGCTGTCTCCATGGCCTTATTCCTGGCAGGGGGACAGCGTGAGCCAAGGGACCAGGAGTGGCCATTGAGGTGCTGGGCCAGCCTTCAATTGGGAAGGGTTCACACTGCTGGTGTTGGGGTAGGGGCAGGTCTTCTCATCTCTGAGTGCGTTGCCTGGAGAGAAGATATTCAGGAATTTTTTTGTGTTTTAGAGTCTACTGGTCTCCAGGAACAAAGCTGAGTGGCAAGAAAGTCTAGCTCTAAAAAAAAAAAAAAAAAAGAAAGAAAGAAAAAAAGAAAGTCTAGCTCTTTCCTGAGCATTTTCCTAAGTATCTTGAATCATGGTGAATACTTAAGTAGCACGCATTAAACGCTCTATATCTCACCTGTGAAGTGAGACTAAGAATGGTGTCCTCTTAAGTGTGACAGTGATAACCAGGAGCTGGGAGCCCTGAGTTCCAGGCTTGAATGACTGTGTGCTGTGAGGACTGGTCAGAAATGCAGGTGACAAGGGCTCAGGGCTGTGATTGCTGTTGGCTGGCATTTCCCCACTTGCCCGGCCAAGGAGAGGGGACTGCATGGGAGCTACCCAGGTGCCTTGCTCTCTTTTCCTTTCCTACTGAAGCATGGGCAATGTCAGACTTTGCAATTCATCTTGGGGACTGGAGGTGGGGTGGGGAGTTCTTAGGGAATGCGAGAACTGGGCTATAGGCACGGGCCAGCCTCCATAGTTCCATGGGGCTGTGACCCCAACTCCATTTTATTAATTTTTAATTAAAAAAAATTTTTTTTAAAGATTTTATTTATTTGAGAGAGAGAGAGAGTGAGAGAGAGCGCGCAAGAGGGGGTAGGGTTAGAGGGAGAAGCAGACTCCCTGCCGAGCAGGGAGCCCGATGTGGGACTCGATCCCGGGACTCCGGGATCATGACCTGAGCCAAAGGCAGTCGCTTAACCAACTGAGCCACCCAGGCGTCCTAAAAAAATTTTTTTAAAGATTTTATTTGAGAGACCGAGAAGAGAGAGCAGAGCAGGAGTGGGGGAAGGGACAGAGGGAGAGGGACAAGCAGACTCCCTGCGGAGCAGGGAGCCTGATGTGGGGCTTGATCCCAGGACCCTGAGATCATGACCTGAGCCAAAGGCAGATACTTAACCAACTGAGCCACCCAGGTGCCCCAATTTTTAATTAAAATTTTTTGGGGGGGCGCCTGAGCGGCTCAATCGTTAAGCGTCTGCCTTCGGCTCAGGTCATGATCTCAGGGTCCTGGGATAGAGCCCCGCATCGGGCTCCCTGCTCCGTGAGAAGCCTGCTTCTCCCTCTCCCCCTCCCTCTGCTTGTGTTCCCTCTTTTGCTGTGTCTCTCTCTGTCAAATAAATAAATAAAATCTTTAAAAAAAAAAAAAAAAAAGAACACTAGTGAGTTCATAGGTGACAGAGGCTCTGGTTTGAAATAGTGTGTCCCTTTGTCTCTGAAGTACATGCCTACCTCTAGTGAGGTAGGCTCAAGAACTCAGAACCCAAGGGACTCTGGAGAACCACTTCCCATGTGGGAGCAAGGAGAAAGAGAGGGCGTGTGTGCAAGGAGAAAGAGAGGGCGTGTGTGCACGAAAGTTCTGGGCCATCTTTGAAGCTCCCTCCAAAATATAGTCAGGGCACAAAAGAAATTAAAATGCCAAAATCTAAAAAAAAAAAAAAAAAAAAAAAGTAGAGTCAGGGCAGAGAGCAGGGCTCAGGAGGTAGGCAAAAGGAGAGCGAGCTTGGTTACCTCAGGAATCTAGGAGGTAGAAGCCTGCCTTTCTGTCTGTCCCCTCACTGCCCAGGCTGACCTAGGCCATCTGGTCCCCAGCCCCACGCTGGGGTTAATCGGGGTTGGCTAGGGAGATGTGATGATGAGGCTGCCTCTTACCCTTTCTAACTCTGTGTTGAGCACCTGCCCTGTCCCAGGGTTCTGGGTGTGCCTCTGAGTCTCCAGCGGGGCCCCAGCCAGGGTTGGGATTCCTGGGCCCCTGAGACTCCCTGCACACTCACACGGCACCTACGTGCCAGGCCCCGAGGGGGGCAGATCTCTCCGAACTACCCCAGCTTCCCACGTGGCCAGGGAGGACCAGAGCACGTCCCCAGCCCTGGCATCGCGTGCTCCACCACAAGCATCTAGCCCGAAGCACGGCCATGCGCATGGCCTCCTGGCAAGGCCCTGCGCCAGGCCCTGGGAGTGCTGTCCAGGTGGCTATTCATCCAGCATCCATGCTTTTCTGATTTGGTCCCACCTTCAATGAGCTTACGAGACAGTTGGGCAGGAGAGACAAGGCAGACAGACAGGGTACGCTCTCAGAACTGCTTTCCTTGTATTCTCTGTGTGGACGGGAGCGCCTAACAGCGGGGTGTCCCTGCTCAGGGTTGTGGAGAGTGCCCAGGAGTGGTTGGGGACGAAGGACTCAGGGACAGCAGGACCCCACCATCACCGGTGGAGTCTGAAGGGGACTGAGTTCCCCTGGGGGAGGTTGTTCCCAGGAGACAGAGGCCCCAGTTCAGTGGGAATTCGTAGGAAGCTGGGAGAGTCCCCCTGCTGCTGACTGGCCTATTTGGCTCTTGGATGCTCAAGAGTCTGCAGCGATTGGTTCTTCTTTCTAGGCCAGTGGGGAAAGAAAACTGGTGGGATTCAGGTTATACTGAAGAAAGACAACTGACCAACACCGTGCCCACCCCTGCTCCCCGCCACATACATCACGTGGTTCCGCCCCTACCCGGTCTGCCTGTTTCTTTTGGGGCGGAGGGGCCCCCTGGAAACACTGGCCATGGGGGGAAGTCACCCCTTCCACCCAGCTCTGCAGACAGCATTCATTAGCAGCCTGACCCTTACTCCTCCTTTCTTGGATGGACGTGTCCCGTGGGGATGGCCATTCTTAGGTTACATCTTCCATACTGGAGCCCTCTTCAGGCTGGAGTTTTATCTATCTATCTATTTTATTTATTTGTCTGAGAGAGAGAGGGTGCGCATGCGTTAGCGTGAGGGGGGGTGGGAGGCAGAGGGAGAAGCAGACTCCCAGCTGAGCAGGGAGCCCGATGCAGGGCTCGATCCCAAGACCCTGGGATCATGACCTGAGCTGAAGGCAGACACTTAACAGACTGAGCCAACCAGGCGCCCCCAGGCTGGAGTTTTAGGGTGTGAGCCCCTTGTTGGAAAAGATGGAGGTGCCTCAATGGGGTGGGGAAGGCAGCTGGAGGATGGGGGTGGGTGGCCAGGAGTTCCGTTGTGGGCCTTGTTGGGTTTGCAGTGCCAATTAGACATGCAAGTGGGGGTGACCCAGAAAACCTGCAGAGAGGAAGGAAGAGCCCTTCAGCCAGCCTGGAGTGCCCCTCTCAGGAAAGATAGTGTCTCGTGCTGAATGTCTCTACTGATGGGGAGCTCATTCCTTCCAGAGACAACCCACATGTTCAGACAGCTAACAGGTAGCCAAACATCTTTCATGGAGGGTTCACCTCTTTTGAGGAGGGTGACTATGCAGAGCTGCATGGTCTGCCACCCAACGTTCAGATATTTGGAGATATGGGTCCTCAGAGTCTTTCTTTCCTGAGGGAACGCTCCCAATCCCCCACCCTGGCTGCCCTGCTCCTCTCTGATCACTCCCGTCCGGGCTGTGGGACCCTGGGACCGGGGCCGGGGGCTCAGGCCTGCAAGGATGCCTTTGGTCCCGCGATAACCACTTTGGAATGTGCTAACTCTGGGGTCTGTGGCTGAGTATGGGGGCATTGGAGGAAGAGGCTAAAGGGACAGGGGAGGTTGATGAGGATGGTGGGAATCAACAGATAGCTCCATTTTCTTAGCTGTTAATTGGGAACAATATCATTTGCTTCTGACATGAGCGGCCGAAGAGCATCTGGAGCCAGAAAGCCCCAGTGGGTATCACCCTGCCCTAGCTTGGTGACTTAGACAAGT